ACCCTGAGATGGATTCGGGGGCGGGACGGTTCGATTCTATACAATCTTTGGTTGCAACCTCATTCCAATCACGCCACCTGTTCAGCCCTCTGTTGAACGCTGTCTCATACAAATAGTGCTTCCTTCTCAACTTCCTAGGTGGACAAATAGTCATACTTATTAAAACTTGGCGGCTATTCTCGATTTACCGCATAGACGGAAAGAGACGGGGGCACTGTGGTGACAATACATCAAACCACGTAAACATCTCCTTCTAGGTGAGATAGGGACTAAGCCTCAGGCAAGAAGGAGAGAATTCAAGGTGCATGAACAATTTTTATTTTCTCCAAGATTCCTGCCCCCTCCTAAGTTTAATCCTTGAAAATACCTCCCTATCTTGCGATAGCGCCTAAGTTTGGACCAGAAAGCTGAGGTGCCGGTGCGCTGGTCCGTGCCCTCCACCAAGATGCTCTAATCTCGCTGTTCGCACTGATTGTAAGCCTCATTGACAGTCACTAGAGGCGTTCTACCCGCTCGCCTCCTAATGGGCCCCACCATACTTGCGACAACGAAAGCAGTGTCAACGGCCGGAATAGCACGAGTGGATGTTTAGAGCATGGCGTGCTTCAGAAACACTGACGTGGCAGCGTTCATAGTCCGCGATCGTGTAAGCGATTAGGCGATTAGGCGATTAGTCAATAAACAAAAGTATACGTATCGATCAGGCGATTAGGTTGTTAAGCGAGTAGGCGATTAGGCGAGCAGGCGAGTGGCGACAAGCGATCGCTCAGTGGGCGGAGCAAGCCAATCGATGCCCAAGCATTGTTACTCGCCGATTCGTCTGGTCGTGTATACGATCGCGAAGCATGAACGCTGCCGTAAGGTGAGATGAAACTGCATTTCGACCGCACCTTCTGAATTAGCTTCACTGCATATTCAATGGCGACATGTTGAAATGCACACCGTTCATCGCCTATCAAAGTTCTTTATCAAGGTACTGATAGCAGCTCACTCTGCGGTAGGACTCATTTCGCATACTTCTGCTGCCATTGCAACCTACGTTGTAATTTCGTCTCATATTTCACACAACAGCACTCTGGGAGTCAAAAGCAAGTCACTGTGAGTAATGAGACGTCTCCTTTCTTAGTTCTATTCTGATGACAGATGCTGATTACAGATGATTCCTGTGATGTTCTTTATTCACGCCTGCTTTCTGGCTCTATTCGCCATCACTGCCCTGAACTTGTGTGGTAAAAAAGATAAAGCACCGAAGGTGAGATGCCTTCCGAACAGCTCTAACCAGTTCTTTCTGGGCCCAGTTTATCTGGAGTTCAAAAGGAGCAGGAAATTGTAACCGTACTCATCATCTCGAAGGAGCTGAATCCTCTCATCAAAAGGGACACAGGTCATTTTCATACGCGAGCCCAGCGAATCCGCTCGAGTGTTTTGAAATGAGCCGCAGCCTTGGATACCCCAAGTTAGGCGCAAGATAGGCATCCTTTACGACTGAGCTCAGGAGAAGGACTTCGGTTGAATAGGAAGTAACGTTTTTTTCTCGTTTTGACAGAAAGAGAGAGTTTATGCGGTTTCAAATGCATTGCCACGACCGCTGACACCACAAGACTCGGTATTGGAGTGAGTGTTTAGATGCTGCGCGAATATTGAGCGATAGCGAGATAGATTAGGCGATCAGCTAGAATGAAAAGTATACGTATAGATTAGGTGATTAGGTGCTATGCGAGTAAGCGATATAGTGGGTGGGGGGGAGCGGGGGAGACTGCATGCTTATGGAGTGTTCATAGTTGGCGATTAGGCGATTAGGCGATTAGTCTAAATGAAAAATATACGTATAGATTCGGCGAGTAGGCGATCAGGCGAGTAGGCGATTAGGCGGTGAAGACTACATACGTATCGACTTGTATGTTCCGCCCTGAGGGCGTTGTAGGCGAGTAGGCGAGTAGGCGAGTAGGCGATTAGGCGATTAGGCGATTTGCACACGGCGCACTCCTTAGTCGTCAAAATTGAGGCGCACATGCATATTAGCTTCTCACCCATACACTAGACTACTAGTTGGTAAAAGCAGATCTTGTCAAAGTGTTGCATACAATCCAGATATCACCTAATCGCCTACTCGCCTAATCGCCTACTCGCCTGATCGCCTACTCGCGTACTCGCCTAATCGATACGTATCCTTTATCGCCTCGCCTACTCGCCTACTCGCCTACTCGCCTACTCGCCTAATCGCCTAATCGCCTAATCGATCCGCATACTTTTCATTTTGAATCATCGCCTACTCGCCTAATCGCCTAATCGCACGTACGATCGCCAACTATGAACGCTCCATAATTGATCAATACGTTTCCTTCACTTGCCGCCTACTCGCCGACTCGTCCTACTCAATACGTATACTTTTCTTTTTGAACCATCGCCTAATCGCCTAAGCGCGCGTACGATCGACAACTATGAACGTTCCCTTATATTGCTGATAAGTGCCAAACATATATAGTTGAATATCAAGTTTGTTGTGAAGAGAGCATCAAGAAGATAAGAAACTCAGACTCAAAGTGCAGACAAGCGGGCATAAACGGAGTAAGCTATACTCCAGTTATCACTCCGAATTCCAGGGGTAAATAGCGCCGTGCTGAGAAGGGAAGGCGACGCTGTGCAGCAGTTGTAGTACTTCCCAGCGACAGTCATGCAATTTTTCGAAGAAAGCTGCAGGGTGTGAACCGGCACCATGCCGTTAGGGGAGGGCATCTAATTGGGTGAGCCAGTTACTGTGCATGGAAATGACCTCAGGAGTGGGAGCGGGGCGTGATTGGGAGCAACTTGTGTCTTCGTGGCGTTCTTCAATCTCCTGGATTATTGCTAGTCCATATGTGCACCTACCATCAGATCTGTTCTTTGAATTCTGGCCAAATACGATCGAGTTTTCAAATCATTTCGCAGGAGAAGGAAGTTCTGGGATGACTAAACCATTTTACTTGTACAAGAAGGGAATAAGAACGTATCAAGATGGTAACTTTTGTCATGATTCTGAAAGCTGGGTGATCCTCATCTGCGATCCCCACCATCTTACAATAGTGAACCTCAGCCAGAAATTGATGCAACTAAGGGCATACAAGTAATTGGGTTCCGTCGTCAATCTAGCTTAGCATCGTGTAGAGCTCAGCAGAAATAGTTCGCGTTAAATCTTTTCGAAATAATAGCCTTCTAGCTGAAACATGAGAAGGTGGGAATAGTCAGGTGGTAGTCGAAATTTCCCATGCACGTTTTTGAGGAGACCATTCATGTCTTGCCCTTTTAGAAAATGAGCACCATTTTTTGAAAGTAATGTGAGCCTTTGTTTTTCAAGGGTAAACAACCACCTCCTGGTCCTAAGACTACCGACGAAGCGAAGACAGCGAAGCCAGATACAGAGAAGAAGGTGAGTGTTGGACTTCTTGGATAAAGCAAAAAACCAGATCAAGAATATGAACGGCTTTAGGAGGCTGTTAAAGGCAGAGTCCACAAACTAGACGAGAATCATTAAACTAAAAGCCACAGTAGGTCAGTGAACCGGGCCAAAAAAAACACATAGAAAGTGTCAGGGTCAGGACCTGGGGACCCCTTTTTGGGCGGTACTTTAATTCCTCATTCCTGCGGCTCCTGTTTGCGTGTGCCATAGTCTCAAGGCGACGGTCTCTCTCTGCAACGGGCTAGAGACTTCACAGCGATGTGGACAGCCAGCTAGATGTGGCGTACTGCCACTTGCGGGTGTCCCCCAACAGGCCCACCGCGCGGCGAAGCAAGAGACGCAGATGCGGCAAAGAGACGAGTTGCAGCGCGTGCTGTGCGATATGAGACGTAGTATGGTACACTCTCTTTAACCTGACGCCTAACCGCTACAGTATGCGCTGCGACTCGTCCCTTTGCCGCGTCTGCGTCTCTTGCTTCGCCGCGCGGTGGGCCTGTTGGGGGACACCCCACATGATAGCTCCGCGGGGAGGGCCATGCTAGGTCGTCGGGGCACATGCTCAGCTGCAGATCTCCTTTGAGCTAATCCAACTAGCTGTAACATGATTAGACAGTGAGAGACGAAAGAGATTTTAATCAGTTTTTATTCAGCCTGAGGAAAAGAAGGAAGCTGATGTGGTGAGTTTTGTAAAATTATCCTAAATTCATTGGTCTCAAGGCAAGATTCAATAATGATGGCAACAGGTCCCATGAATTGCCACTAGCGCAAAGTCTATGCAAAATGTGCTAAAGTTTCTTAGTTCTAATTTCTCTTTTCTCCTAGCAAAAAAACACCACTCACAGCAAGGGGGCAGCTCATTTCCAGGACGGCTGTAGGTATAGAGGGCGGAGCCATGAGGGCTTATAGGACAAGAAGTACTTAGTGGGTGGTTACTTGTAAGATCGTGGGTAGACAGATATATTTCGTCCATGTACATAACGTGCGGCATTGACACTCTTAGTTCTTACCAAGAACATCTGTGACAATTTAACGGCGAAATTCAAATTTCTTTCACATGATCACTTGGATTTCTTATAAAATCAATGCTGCGGTCTCGTCGATTTTTATCCTTATGAAGCACGGAGCCTAGGCTATCGATTTTTGGCGAAAATAGAGCACACTATTTCCGGGCACGGTGCCTTCAAGGCTGCGTTCACAGTTCGCGACTTGGAAGATTAGGATATTAAGCGATAGAATATTAGGACATGTAGTAGTAGAGTAGGAGATTGCGCTGACAAGATTGGATACGTATCGATTGAAATCGCTGGAGAGTAGTAGATTGGGCGACTTCAAGCGAATAGATCAATACATATCTAATCTTGTCAGCGCACTATCCTAATCTACTACTATCCTAATCTCCTACTCTACTACTATCCTACTATCGTAATATCGTAATCTACTACTCTTGTATTCTTCCCGTCGCCGTCAATACATTTTCGTTGTCGCGCGCTATCCTGATCTCCGGAGTCGCGAACTATGAACGCGGCTACCTAAAGATGAGCCACTCTTTTCAGAATGCCACTCAGCCTCAGTCAACCGCAACAAAACCAGAAGAGAAGAAAGATGAGAAAACCGATCAGAAGAAGGAAGGAGAAGGAGAAAAGAAAGAGGGTGGTGAACAGAAAACAGGAGATGCAAAGACACAGACGCAGACGACGGCTAGTCAAGGTCAAGAGGAACCGAAGAAAACGCAGAGATCAGGAGAGGAAGAAGACAAGCCTAAAGAGGGAGAGAAACCTAAGGAGGGCGAGAAGCCTAAGGAGGGTGAGAAGCCTAAGGAAGGAGAAAAGGCGAAGTAAATGCATCCATAATTATAGAAAGTTAAGCGAGGAATTGCTTTAGCAGTTCAATTAAGATAAAATATGAAAATGGATCGTGACGTTGCTATTGCACCGTGTACAGACACCACTTGAAAGTGCTGAATAGTAGCATAGTAGCGGCGAAATACTTTCTCCTCACGGCGCAATATAGCTACGGGCGGGTGCCCGTAATTGCGCTTAACACTTTTTTCAGGACCAATCATTCAGGAGGGACTCCAAAAAGTGTAAGCAATTCCCACTCTCTCCAAAAATCGTCTACCCCCGTTACTAGGCCTAGTACTAGTGGACTGGTACCTCAGAGGCACATTGCGACCTCCTAACCTTGTAAACGGGTTAGTCTTAGCTCACCGAATGCGGTGTCCATACTCGCGGCGGAATACAAAGGTTGTTCTCACAGTCAGCCTTTTAGGAGAGTAGGAGATTCCACAAAAAGGACTAGAGGCATTTTTATAAAGATTGATGGGAACCCATCTTCTCTGGTGAGATATACATTCGATACAAAATAACCCAATTAATAATAATGCATCCTCGTCGCGAATTCTCCGATTCTCCTGGAAAGGTAAGTATGATCTACTTATCGCTGCTATGACTCGGAATGTTCACGCAGTCAACCATCCGTTCGGACAGTCCGAGTGCGAAGGTAGTGTTAAACTGAAAGGAGTTCGTGATTGAGAAGGCCTCTCTTCTGGTGTACTGACCGGGATAGTAAAGTCCAGACCACCCCCCTCATTACACAATGTGAGGAATAACAATAAGAGCTACTCCAAAGGCGAGCAAAAATGAGCCGCGCACATGACAGCAACCAAAAAAGCACTAGAGTAAGAAAATATGACAGACAAATTCGGAACTGGTTTCGACAATATCAAAAACGGTCAAAATTTACGTTCTGCTTGGAGTGCATCCGGTGAGGTTCGAGGAAGCAAAAGTTTTCACACAAAAGCGACAGTGATAGGATTCGTGAAACTTGACGATATGAGGAACAATATGAAACTGACAATGTCAAGAAGAAGAGTCCCACAGAGTGCTGCCACAAAGGGTTTAAAACGCCCCCTAAAATACCAGTAGCGGTACAAAAGGACAATAGTACAATTGGTTTCAATTCACATATTTGCTCAAGCCTCGTTGCGTTTCTATTGCGTGGCCTTCTGACAAGGAAGGATGGTAGGTCGAAGTGGCCGTTCGAAATGAAATGTATACCTCCTGATGCGTCTCCAGACGCTGATTCCAAATCTGCCTTCCAAATCTGCTAAACGACTCTCCGAACGGAGTTATGAAGCGTAATAGCTCAGTGGTGATGGTCCGGGGTGGCAGGTAAAAGCTCGTAGGATCGGTTCCTTTGCAAGTTTGTTGCTTTGCTTTTGTCCGCAACACTTCTAGAGACAAAAGCAAAGCAACCAATTTGCAAAGGAACCGATCCTACGAGCTTTTACCTGCCACCCCGGACCATCACCACTGAGCTATTACGCTTCATAACTCCGTTCGGAGAGTCGTTTAGCAGATTTGGAAGGCAGATTTGGAATCAGCGTCTGGAGACGCATCAGGAGGTATACATTTCATTTCGAACGGCCACTTCGACCTACCATCCTTCCCTTGTAAGCATAGACGAACAAAACTGACAGATCCATGGACTGAGAAAGGAGCGAACGAATTTAATTGGCGCGTGTAAGGCAGCAGAATAGCGTGTTTGCATGGCACAGTGTAGTTATTGGCATTTAATGGTACCTAAAAGGTCAAAGCGAGGACGAGCGAAGACCGGATTCGAGTCGCTGAAGTGGCGCCAAGAAGTGCAAGAAACGACGATCAATGGCTAAATGTCGCTGGCCATAGCAAGAAAAAGAAAACGTTGCAATGCCGTGTTGCCCTTGTCGGCTGTCGTTCCTTCAACTGCTGCCCTAAATGGAATCACCGTCCCTTGTGAAAAAAAAACCCGATGTGCACCGTGAGAAGGATCAGGGCTGCGTGGAACCTAGTCCTTTTTCAGGCTTACTTCTATGGAACGGCCTTCGAGACAAATTCCGGGATCAACCTGATGTGTTATTCGCTTGCAAGCGACAGTGGAGATGTAAAGTGTAAAGTCTGAAATGGAACGACGACGAAAGACGCTATCGCAATACACGGGGGCATCCTTCAAGACGAGGCCTAGGAGGGGCAGGAACTTCGGGGAGAATGGAAAATCGCTCATGCACCCTCGTGTCTCTAACTTCTCCCCTAAGGCTATTAAGGCAACCTAACCTAAGGCAACTCGATTAACAAAAAAATGTTAGGCATTTTTTGCAGTGCCACCACAATGCCCCGTATATTGCGATAGCGCCGTCAGAAATGCAGAAAAAAAAACGGGAAAAGACCGTCGAGGAGAACGAAAAGAGCCCCCCTCCATCAGCGGCGAAGCAAAACAGCATTCATTTGGGGTATGGTCGGTACTGCTGGGCGGGCCTAATGCAGGGCCCTAAGGATTTAGCGATTCGGCCTTCTCAAATAATCCCGATATCTTTGTAGATGTCCCGCTTGCGTACCATTGCCATTTTTTGAAGAGGTTAATTTCCACCAGAAATCCCAGACCTCGCCTTCAAAAGGTTATCCCAACCTCTCACTCCTCGCAAAGCGCGGTGAAGGTCCTTGCACCAATGACATGCAATGACGTCACCAGA